CACCCGCCCGGCGCTGGGGAGCGGGGCCCGGTCACCCCCCGAGGGCGGAGGAGTGGGGCTGGGGAGCGGGGCCCTGGCCCCCCCTCAGGGCCGAAGAGAGGGGCCCAGCTCCCCCCAGGTCCAAGGAGCGGGGCCTGGATCCCCCCAGGGCTGAGGAGTGGGGACCAGGACCCCCCATGATGCCTCTCCCTCATGGAGCTAAGACCCCACTTTCCCCCCCATCTGTACTGTTGGTTTCACCTGTGTGCTAATAATATATTTTCAAATCCCCCCCTTTTTAGTTTTTAATCATTTTTTAGTTTTCTTGTATCCCAGGGGCATGCTGGGCGCAGGAAAACCCCGAGGGGGTGTCAGGCCACCCCAGGGTGATTTCTGCCCCTGTGCCATGGCTGGTTTTGTGGTCTGCACAGCAAACCTGCAAAGATACCAGGTGGAAGAGAGAAGAAAACCCCGTTAGTCTGCCTGCAAAGTATTGTGCAGTGTTTCACTGAAAGCTTCAGCAAAGAGTGCACCCACACAAAGGATGTCAGAGAGCAAGAGGCAGTCTGGGATCTTCAATCCCCTGTCTGCCTTTGCTCTGCTCCGGGTGCAGAGGCTGGATGATAATGAAGATGAGACATTGTCTGTGTCAGAGGTCCAGCCAGGCTGAGCGTTTTTATGGAGACACACTCATCTTCAGTCTCGCTGCTTATTGCTCTTAAACAGTAGCAAAAACTTTCCTCGTTTTCCAGCTAATTAGGTCTTGTAAGTAGTTCTCTCTCTGTCGCTGTTGCTCAGCACCTGGAGCACACATAGATATTTCAAAAGACCCTTTTTTTCTCTTTGTTTTTCCTCAGCATTCCCTGTTTTCAGCATTTTCCAAATTTGGGCTGCTCTACTCCGTGCGAGCACACAGAAATGCTGCCGTGGCAGGGCCTGGGTATTACGCCGTCATCAAGTTTTATTCAGCTGGAGATGCCAGCAGAGCCCAGCGCGCGTGCAGTGGGCAAAGACTGTTTCAGAAATCTCCCTTGAAGGTAAGCAGAACAGCCCCAGGAGAGAAACTTGCAGGACTCAGCACTGTGACCTCCAGCAGCAGGGTAAAATCAAATGAAGTACATTTAGATCTCAGTGATGCTCCGTATGCAGAAAGTTTACTCATTTGTAGCTGGGCGCTACCACTGCGGTGATGTCCCCCCACCACCAGCTCCCATATAGTATTTAAGCAGTAACACAGCAGCATCCCTCCTCTGGAATAATTTGCAGGGCCTGTTCCTGGGTAAAAAAATATCTAATGGATGTCAGAAGCATGCATGCGTTCAGAGAATAGGTTACCTCCAGATGACTCTCCTGGAGCTGTCAGTGGTGTGTCTGCATTGGGAACCTTACAAGCAATGCCTGTCTAACCAGGGTTCTTCTTTCCTGGACAGGTTTGTGTTTGCACCAAGCAGAAGGGGTTTCAGCAACAAGCCCTTGCCCTCAACAGCCACAAGTGCCAGGAGTTGGCCAACCACTACCTTGGTTTTAACGGCTGGTCCAGTCGCATTATCACAGTAAGGGACCCTTTATATTCATCCATCGTCCTTCCCCTCATCCTCTTCTTAATTAGAGTTTTTGGTGGAATAAGAAGAATTGTCATTAAATCAGCAAATAATAGACAGCTCCAGGAGCTGTGTTTTGGACCACAAGTAGGGGTATTTTGAAAGTCTGGGGAGAGAAGATTGCTATGAGTGATGGCACTAGCTTGGCTTCTGTTAATAAAAATGGGGGCAGCTGTGATTAAAGCAGCAGCAGGCCTGACAGTAGTCTTGATGTGCTGAAAGTGACTGACTGAGATTTCCAGAGGCTGGAGACTATGAGGTATTTCTAAAATAGGGTGAAAACAGTAAACATCCCTGCTCTGCCTCCACCATGTGCTTCTGCCTTGGAGTCACAGGCTGTGCAGAGGTCTGTGGTCTGCAGACGTAGGCCTAAGTGATCATAACATCCCCTTCCTATTTAATTGAAATTAATTAGCTGTGGTCTTCCCAACAGCTGCAGAATGTATCTGGCTTTGATGGTGAGAATGAGGAACTGGGCAAGACATTACAGAAGCGATCTGTGAAATACCTGTGTGCTGTGGAGGTGACACTGCCCAACCATGGGGTACACACCAGGGGAGTTGCCCTTGGCGAGGCAGATATAGAAAATGGTGAAGGTATGTTTTGGATGCAGCTGGAATTCTCTTAACAGATGTTGCAGACACTGGTCAGTCTTGCTTTGGCACAGCTTGTGGGTCTGATAAAGTGTCAGAATTTAGGTGGAGGCAAGGATCTGTGCAGGGCCTTGTGAGCTGCTGTGCTATGTAGCAAGGGATACAGAGCAGCCTGTTCCCTCCCTGCTTCACACCAGTATCACTTTCCTACCCTCTGTTCTCTCCCTCTTGCCTGCAGCTATTCATTCCCCATCACAGCCACTTTCTGGTGTGAAAATGCCTTGTAATTGTGTCTGTGGCACAGCCCAGGTGCCGGCGGGGCTCTGCACTGCCCTGGGCAGGGTCCTGACACAGGCCTGAGGATCATGTGCTGCTGCTGTGGGTTGGCACACAAAGCCCCTGCAAGAGTGCTGCCATGCTGCTGATGACTCCCAAAACATAAGCAGCTTTCTTCTCAGATCCATAAAGCTGTGTTTGGTTATGTTTCCTACTGTGATGCAGCTGGCGTGCTTCATATGCAGAGTGTCATCTTAATATCAATAACATGCTGCTTGTTGTGTTCAGATCCTCTTGAGATTGTCACAGCCACAAGAAGAGTTCAGAAACTCGCAGTGGGGAAAGCTTTGTCTAGTGCCTTTCAGAAGATACTCCTCATAGTCTTAGGTAAGGCCTATTTTTATATTAAACGCTGGGGTGTTTGGGCTAATGATGTCATAACTTTCATGGTAATTGATATGAATTCTTTTTCTCTGAACCTTTCTTGGGTTTTATTGAAGTTTGCGGGGTCTTGTGCAAAATTAAACGTGTTGTGGTCTCTAATGATTTAACAGAGTGGTTCCACCCTATGAGTTATGCAAGTGAAAGGAAAATCTGACAGGAGGCCAGATTTTTTTTATGATAAGTCATTGAAACTCCAAATTCCAAGAGTGTGAGTGCTGGCAGGGAGAGCTTCTTAACACTACATGTGCATGCTGAACGTGAGGAGGATCTGCTTCCAGGGGTAACATGAACTGAATTGCAGCACTTTGCATGTTCCTGCCCTGGTTCCAAGCCAGCCAGATGCCATCAAAGGTCTGTGCCCCACTCTTGTGCTCAGTGTGGCTTCTTTGGGACTACTATATCCTTTGAGTTTTCAGTCATAGAAGCTGGCTCTGTGCCCACCCAGGAACTGCTAAGTTTACTTTTTCTGGGTTCCAGATCTTGTGCTCTCTGAGCTTTTAGGTGACACCTCTTTATGTGGTATCTGAGTACTTTAGTCTTTTATGCATATCAGGAGAGACCCTGATGGGGTCAGGTCAGTGCTGCTATCCTCGTTTTACAGAGTGCCTGATTCCTCCCCCAGGTTCTTTAAGGTCCTCTTCTGAATGGTGGGTGTCTGGATTCAGATGGTTTGCAGTGCTTCCTGCCTTCTGATCCATCACACACGCAGAGACCCAGTAATTAACATGCTCCATCCTCTCTATAGATTTCTGCTTCCTCAATTTCAGTTTCCATTCTGTTTAGTAAGAGCCATTTGGTTTTCTGCAGAAAAGATGGGCAGGTAGGCCAGAGAAAGAAGCACAGGCATTCAGACCAACCAGCCACTCACTCTCACAGCCATTATGAAGCAGAATTGTCCCATCTGGAGTTTAGGGTAGGTTTCTTGTTGTTACACACCGTAGTAACTAACTGTGTCTCTGCCTGTTCATTCTGTTTCAGAGAATGGGAAAGTGGCTGTAGAGTACAATTCCTCCCAAGAGGAGCCCACAGACACCTTAACA